ATTGCCAGATAACCAACAAACCTCGGCTTAAGAGAAATAACTCAAAAGGGTACTTGGAGAGAATAAACAATTGCCCTAAGAGATTCTAAGAGAAAGGGACAATTTGCTGATGCAGTAGTTGAGTCATTCGTGAAGAGTGATAAGATCGGAAGATCGAACCAATTCGGACTGGTGACGGCGAGTCGGCTCTAATGTTTATGTCTGGCTTGGGCCATGGAAAATTTCATGGGAATGTTTACAAGTGGAGCTTGATGTTTAGTCTGGATAATCTTTTGGGGATCATCAGAAACGAGTGAGGGGAAATTAGGAGACAAGATAAGAAACGGCATGACGCATTCAGCAGGGGCTACTGCGTTTTGCAAATAATGTTTACATTGCCTTTTTGGTGAGGCAATTTATGAGTTGGATAACATGCACGCCATAAGCTTCCAAAAGCATTTTTTGGGCTTCCACAGCAGTTTTCTTTCAAAGAGAGCAGAAAAGCAACGATTTCCGCGAATCGTGGTTTGTGGGTATAAATCTCGACATTTTTAATATTGGAAAAAAAATAGATATTGGACAAAAAACTCGCAAATAAATTTTGAGCAGTGTTGCCAGACGCAAAAGATGCTAAAAAATTTGTACCAACAATTTTTGTCGATCAAAATTGTTACTGATAATTAACAATGAAGTAAGTGGTAAGTTAAGTTAGACTGGTAAGTTACCGCAAAAACAGATTTATAAAATTTATAGGGTCGGCGATTTCTTCTTCACCACGTTGCACACTTTTGACCAAAATTATAATATCTTCTGCAAGGGTTGGTTCTGGTCATTTGGTTTTTTTGTTCCTTTGTTCTCTTTCTTTAAAATATACATATAATTGTTAGTAAGATAGAATTATTATTATAGAATTAGACGAATTATTAAACTAATTTCAAAGACTTAACACCGCACTAAGAATTAGACATGGAAGACATGGACCAACGAACAATTAATAGCCATTATAGAAGGCGCCGTTGCAAGCGCACTCACCGCGCAAGGTTCGAAAAAAAATATACAGGATGTTCAGAAACGCCTAGAGGGTTTAAATATCAGCACGCCAGAAATAGAAACATATAGGGATGCCGAAATCAGAATGGGTATTATTTACAATGAGACCTTGGATATTATAAAGTCCCTTGCGGACTTCGCGAGTAAAAATGGGACGTACGTTTCATGGAGGAAAGCGGCGCACACCGCACATTAGGTGTTAGGAAAAATTTTAAGGTAGTTCTAAACATTACCAAGCTTTAGGAATAGGTCGAAATAAAATAAAAGGTTCGGCTGATATGGTACTCTCGTCGTTCGACACATCTTTAAGCTTTAAAGCTATAACAGACAGACTAGATTTCACATACGCGGACAGGCGTCTGGTATACTTAACAGACAGGAGATTTTAAAGCTTCGCCAAGGGAACTATGTCTTTTGATGTACTATGACAAAATTATGAGAAACAAGAAAGGAAAGCTAACTTCCGGCGGAGCCGAAGTTGATATACCCCTGCAGTTAAAAACGGATATATATCGCAAACATCGGATATAGTTGGCCGATCCTTATGAGAATATAAAAATTAAAACAATTAATTACAATAAAAAATCTTCAAAAAAAAGTCCCAAGCTTCTTTCTTCAAAAATACCAAAGTTGATATTTCTACCGAATACCATTTCCGATCGTCCAGTTATATGGCAGCTATAGAATATAGTCGGCCGATCCTTATGAAATTTGGTGGGTCGTATTATTTTGCCAAAAATAGCTCATATGTGAAATCTCTAACTCTTAAAACACTTAATTTATACCACTTCCGATCAATCAGTTATATGGCAGATATAAAATATGGTCGACCGATCCCGGTCGTTCCGACTTATGTACTGCGTGCAAAGGAGAGAAGGGTATGTGAAAAGTTTCAATTCGATAGCTTTAAAACTGAGAGACTAGTTCGCTTAGAAACAGACAGACGGACATGCTCATATCAACTCAGGAGGTGTTCCTGATCAAGAATATGTATACTTTATAGGGTTGGAGATGTCTCCTTCACTGCGTTTCACACTTTTGGACAAAATTATAATACCCTCTGCAACGGTAGAAAAACTGACTCTGCTGATAACAAGACGATCATGACCTACGACAACACCGTAGCTGCCCCACTGAACCAAAAATACAGAGCAGATGCGCTACGAGTATTCATTTAGGGAACAAGAAAATCGCTAAGTGAGGTTCTTTTTTGGCAAGACCATCCTATTTTCCTTTCGCTTTAGAACTAGCCCAGGAAGTAGAGGCTAAACGCAAGCGATATATGTTCGCCCGGAGTTTTGCCGGTAGCATGGAGGAAAAACTCCAAAGGTCCCAACAAAGACAGCAGGAAAAGGAAAGAAATGCAGGTTCAGGCGTCAGATTCAACCCTGAGGGTAAAAACCCCCATTTCAATATAAAACAAAGACAGCCTGTCAGATAGGATCCAGTCCAGCCAATGGACATCGGTAGCTCATTATCTCGCTTCTGGCAACCAACCCAAATTCAACAATGTGGTCCATTTGCTAGGCAAATCCAAAACAAACAGTGGCGACAAATCAGCTAAAAATTTAATCCAAGGCTTACAATAACAAGGGACTGACAGCTGAAAGACCCGGTAGTAGTAGCGCAAGGAACAAGGAGTCCTATTCGTAGGAAAGGGAGATCGCAGGGAAAAAAAATCAAATTTTTGATAGGGGGCTTCCAAAAATCATATCAAGCCTATGAAAAAGTTAAAAAACGTTATTTTCGTAAATAAACCATTTTCGGTACAATCAATCCATGGCCACAACACCATTAAACAAAAAATGTACCATTCTCTTTTTTTAACTCAACTGCAATAATTTTTCTATATAAGGCCAACATGCGGGTTTCGCCCGAGGATTCAAATTTTTTGAAAGAAAGCTTAGAGTATTAATGCTATTTAACCTACTCTACCTAATATTTAACCTATTCAAAAATAGTTTTGATTTTATTCTTCAGTATTTTGTTGGCCCCTCTCTGTTTTTATACCCTTGCAGAGGGTATTATAATTTTGTCCAAAAGTGTGCAACGCAGTGAAGGAGACATCTCCGACCCTATAAAGTATATATATTCTTGATCAGGATCACCTCCTGAGTTGATATGAGCATGTCCGTCTGTCCGTCTGACCGTCTGTCCGTCTGTCCGTCTGTCTGTTTCTACGCAAACTAGTCTCTCAGTTTTAAAGCTATCGACTTGAAACTTTGCACACACCCTTCTATCCCTTGCACGCAGTATATAAGTCGGAACGGCCTGGATCGGCCGACTATATCCTATAGGTGCCATATAACTGATTGATCGGAAATGGTATAACTTCGGTGTTTTTAGAGTTAGAGAGTTTAAATTTTACACGAAAGCTATTTTTGGCAAAACATTACGACATGCCAAATTTCATAAGGATCGGCCGACTATATCTTATAGCTGCCATATGACTGAACGATCGAAAAGACCCAACTTTCGTGTTTTTGAAGATAGAAAGATGAAACTTAATACAGATTTTATTTTTAGCCAGTTGATCCAACCTACCAAATTTCATTGGGATAGGCTGACTATATCCTATAGCTGCCATATAACTGAACGATCGGAAATGGTATTTGGTAGAAATATCAACTTTCGTATTTTTGAAGATAGATGTTTGGGACTTTTTTTAGATTTTTTATTTTAGTTTATTGGTTTTATTATGATGTAATCATAAGGATCGGCCAACTATATCCGATGCTTGCGATACATATCCGGTTTTAACTGCAAGGGTATATCAACTTCGGCTCCGCCCGAAGTTAGCTTTCCTTTCTTGTTTATTACAGCCTTTATTCTTGATGGCATAGAATCTTTCAAGTGTACGATGGTTTCCATAGTTATGTCGTTATACCAGACCTTCTCCACTGTCAAATCAAATTCTCTTATGGTTTTAATTATTTTAACTTTTAAAATATGCCAAAGATTTTCAATCGGGTTTAAGTAAATCAGGACTATTGCCCGGCCAGTCTAATGTTGATATTCTATTTTTCTGAAAATAATTTGTTATTATTTATTAAATAACAAGAAAGGAGGCTAACTTTGGGCGGAGCCGAATATACCCTCAAAACCGAATATATATCAAAAACATCGGATATAGTTGGTTGACCCTTATGAGAATGTCATAATATAACTCAACTGACTAAATATAGAATATGTACGGAGTTCCAACTTTTTATCTTCAAAAACGCAAAAGGTCATTTTCCCTTGTTCAGTTCAGCTATAAGATATATTCGGCCGATCCTTATAAAATTTGGCATGTCGTATTATTTTGCCAATAGCCCTCATGCAAAATCCGAACTCTGTAACTCAAAAAACCAAAAACACCATATGGCAGCTATAGGATATAGTCGGCCGTTCCGACTTATATACTGCGTGCAAAGGAATGGTGGGTGGTTGCAAAGTTTCAATTCGATAGCTTCAAAACTGAGAGACTAGTTTGCGTAGAAACAGACAGACAGACAGGCGGACAGACCGACATGCTCATATCAACTCAGGAGGTGATCCTGATCCAGAATATGTATACTTTATAGGGTCGAAGATGTCTCCTTCACTCCGTTGCACACTTTTGGACAAAATTATAATACCCTCTGCAAGGGTATAAATATGGAATGTTATAAAGTATGAACTATTGCTGTAGCTTAAGGCCTGCAATTGCTATATTAAATTTAAATTGTGGGCAATTTAAATAACGCATAAATTTCTTAATACTAATAATAATAATAAAATGCTGGTGCTGCACGATGATAAGGGTGTCTAGAAAATTTCTCAAACAAAACGTCCCTAGCAGTAAATCACACTTACGAGATCATTCAGTATCGGAAGGCTACTAAAATGGAACTACTACCATTCTACTAAATGGAGTGGTTACTCTCCGTTGCTATATAATTTTTTTTCGATTTTTTAACAAGAGTATAACATGTTTTTAACATTTTCAGTAAAACCACAGTATCTTTAATAAACGAAAAAAAGGCAAATCTTTCCTGTCAATTGGTGGCATCATGGACTGTACAGGTTGGCGACATGGATCAAACCTTGCATCTTTGGAAATACACGGGAGGATTTGAAAAAATTGACCAAGCCAAGGAAGATCTATGGAACGATCCTGAGTACCTAAAATTAATGCAAGAACGCTCAAAATTTTTACGGTCTCGTCATCTGCAGTATCTATTAGCTTTTAGTTACTGGCCGAAAATTGAAAATAGATGCGGAAAGAATATATACGAAATGCGGTATGTAATAAATACAAATTTTAAAGTTACCCTTTTAAATCAATCATTTAGGTCATACCGATTAACCCCTGGTACAATGATCGAATGGGGAAATAACTGGGCGCGTGCTATTAACTATCGTAAGCACAACAACGAAGCTTTCGCCGGATTTTTCTCACAAATTGGAAGACTGTACAACGTTCATCATATCTGGTGTAAGTCCAATGAAATTCCATTCAATTCCAATTCCATTTTTACTATTCAAAACATATTTTTATAAACTACAACAAACTTAAAACACTTCTGCTTCATTGAAAAATTGGTACTGCAAAATTGTTCAAATTAACAACGTTGAAAATAAGTTGAGTAAGAGAGAATTCAAAGACGAGAAAAAACAAGAAAGACGGCTATAGTCGAGTTTCCCGACTTATTATACCCGGTGCTCATCTCTTTCACCTACAACTAAATTATCCTTTGTAGTCTAAACTTTAAAGGTATGGGTTCTCAGCAACCAATTTTTGTTTCATACTTTGCGCTTAAGCAAAAAAATAACTGCAGCCAAAACAAATTCCTCCGTCAGTACTACCGATTCAGTAGGGGAGGCACGCTAAGGAGTCTATAACTACTCTAAAAATTATCCGATTTGGCTGCTTTTTGATAGATTCGATTAGATTACTGTAGATTAGCCAATGGAACAGTTTGGCATACAAAAATTTTCCAAAAACAATAACGAACTGGCGCTATAACCAGATTTCTGTTTTGAGGGCGGGGTGGGGCGTGGCGAAATTTTGACACAAGCTTGATCTGCGAGGATATCTAACAATTCCAAGTTCCAAATTTAATAGTTCTATCTCTTAAAGTCTGCGATATATCCACGGAAATTTTATATACATACATAGATATCTTCTCCAAAAGTCGGCCAATTTGGATGAAATTTGATTGTAAGATATATATTAACTAAAGAAATAGTTAAGCATTAAAAGTTTTTTAAAAAGCCTTCCTGTACAGGCGCTACAGAATTTCTCAATTTATGGGGCCGTGACAAAATTTTGAAACCAACTTGGTATATAGTACTCGGCTATATCGACTTCGCTGTTGATGCTGATCAAGAAAATATATACTTTATGGAGATGATTTCTTCTCTATGTTACGTTCATTCACAAGACTACAAAATACCCTTTTACTCTACGAGTACCGGGTATAAAAAGACGCTGGAATATAAATATGTATAAAAAAAGTGCAAGCAAGTTTTGCTCTAAAAGCAAAAACACTTTCATTTCTTTCGTTTTTTTTTTTTTTTTTAGCTGCCACATTATGGTTTTATAGACCATAATGATATTATAGACCATAACCATATAACCATATAATATCACTTATATTATAAGTGTTTTTTGGAAAAATAAAGGGTTCCAAAGTTAGCTTTCCTTTTATGTTAAATATCATTTAAATGATGAAAACATTTTAATTTCAACGATATATACGTGAAAACAACTGATAACAAATAAAAACAAAAGGATATAGTCGGCCGATCCTAATAAAATTTGGTAGCTTGGATCAACTGACCAAAAAAATAGAATCTGTACTAAATTCCAGCTTTCTATCTTCAAAAACACAAAAGTTGGGTCATTTCCGATCGTTCAGTTATATGGCAGCTATAGAATATAGTCGGCCGATCCTTATAAAATTTGGCATGTCGTATTATTTTGCCAAAAATAGCTCTCATGTCAAATTTGAACTCCCTAACTCTAAAAACACCAAAGTTATACCAATTCCGATCAATCAGTTATATGGCAGCTATAAGATATAGTCGGCCGATCCCGGTCGTTCCGACTTATATACTGCGTGCAAGGGATAGAAGGGTGTGTGCAAAGTTTTAAGTCGATAGCTTTAAAATTGAGAGACTAGTTTGCGTAGAAACAGACAAACAGACGGACAGACGGACATGCTCATATCAACTCAGGAGGTGATCCTGATCAAGAATATATATACTTTATAGGGTCGGAGATGTCTCCTGCACTGCGTTGCACACTTTTGGACAAAATTATAATACCCTCTGCAAGGGTATAAAAAAACCTCTTGACGCGTTAAAATACCCGTGACGAACTCACATATTGCGCCCAAAATATCTGATATACATTTGATGAGTGATGAAAAAATTCTGTAAAGGTAGACAAAATTATACATTTTTAAATATATTTATTCGGCACGCAATAAAAATAAAAATATATTAAATGTACATAATCTTAAAAACTAGGCCAGCTTCATTGTTGAATGACAAAACTATAGAAATATAATATGTATTTCATTGATCCATAAATCATTTATTTTTGACAAAAAAATAAATTTTGGGTCCACTAAAATCTAAAGAGAACAAATCCTTTGCATGCAGTGCAAAGTTTGCACTATAATTACACAGTGCAACAGTGATTTGGAACTTTTAAAAAGACATACATAGTAGGAATTGCTTATCAGGTCGAATATAGCACAAAATCGTATTTGAAATAAGCCGTATTGTTACACCAAAATCAAAATCTTGATTTATTAAGAAAACCCCGTTTTCAGGACTTTCTTTCGGTAACTGTGTGTTAAAGAAAGAAATAAGCGCAATGGAAGAGCACACTATTGCTCCGGAACGCTAGCAAGATTGCACTGAATCGTTTTGGAAAAGCGTTATAACTTCAACCATTTTCATAATTTCTATCATAATTTCTATTTCTAAGATCTATTTTTTTTTTCAAAAGCTATTAAACTATTGAAAAAAGATTTTGTGATATATTCGACCTGATAAACATTTCCTACTATGTCACTTTAAAAGTATATTTATCTAAAATTATAGGTGATTATATGTTTATAATAGCCCAAAAAATGTATAAGCCCCATCTAGCGATAAGAAACTAACTTTAAACATGAAAGTGTATGTCTTAGTTCCGAATAATATGGGCCACTAACCATACAATACAATGACTAGTCATTTCATAAAACGAAAATAAACACAACAAATTCTTTCGACGGGTCCCGGCCAGCCCTTATTATTTTTCTTACGCTCATTCTTACGTTCTCTACGTATTTTTATGCCCTTGCAGAGGGCATTATAATTTTTTCCAAAAGTGTGCAACGCAGTGAAGGAGACATTTCCGACCCTATAAAGTATATATATTCTTGATCAGGATCAGGATCACCTACTGAGTTGATATGAGCATGTCCGTCTGTCTGTTTCTACGCAAACTAGTCTCTCAGTTTTAAAGCTATCGACTTTAAACTTTGCACACACCCTTCTTTTCTTTGCACGCAGTATATAAGTTGGAACGGCCAAAATCGGCCGACTATATCCTATAGCTGCCAAGTAACTGATTGATCGGAAATGCTGTAACTTTGGTGTTTTTAGAGTTAGAGAGTTCAGATTGCTATTTTTGGCAAAATAATACTTAGGTATTTTTGAAGATAAATGCTTGGGACTTTTTTATACCCTTGCAGTGGCAAGGCAATTTTTTTGGTCACTCTTTTTCCTTATCTCACATATCATTCCGAATTAACGCATCGCTCTGTCATTAGCATAATATTATCACAAATGAACATTACTTGTAAATAATTTTTTTTTCTTAGCAAAAGCCTATATAACTGAAAACACTCAGTAAATGAACAGCCGTTATAGGATATATCCGGCCTATTTCTCGTGCTCGCAAAGAAATGAATGGACGGACATAGTTATATTATATCAGAAAGGGGTCCTGTTTAAGAATAAGTGTAGGAGTCAAAGATGTTTCTTTTACTGCGTTGACATTTTTCACAAAAAATTCGAAAGGCAATACTAATAATGTTGTATATATGGATGTACGGCATAATGCCGTCGTCACCTAGCATACGTTTTACGGCAAGTCGAAGGTGTGTTTATTAAATGTCCAATAACATAGTAATTTTGTTCAACAAAGTCGTTAGAATGTAACGCTCCCCACGCGAGATGTGCCCAGAAGGAATGAAGTTAAATACATAATTCGAATTTATATTTTCTTTATCTGGGGAAACCTATTTTTCTTAACACCCTACCCTAGTTCTTAATAATAGCCTTCCTATTCTTTACTACATTTATTTTTTTAAATATCGATCACAAGTAAACCAGCTATCCACAATTTTTTCCATGCAAGTTTTTTTTGTGTTACTACACTTGTTCTAGTGCCAATTTGACACTGTCAACCTGCTTAATGGATTGTGTATCTTCAATAGAGTAGATAGTACCGCTTTCGCCCGCTTTTTAAAAGATATTAATATTAATATTACTACTGAAACTTTTGATCCTTTTTTTGTACATTAATTTTTCGGTAAATTTTTGGCATGTTGTTGTTGGCAGTTACCGCATACATATATTCGCATATATACCGCATACGATGACAAAAATTAATTTCAAATGAATTGAATTGAGTGAATGGGACGCAAAAACGAAATGGAGTTGTATGAGTTCGAGAATTCAATCGAACTTACTTGCCGTGGCCTTCAGAGAAATGAGGAAGAATAAATTAAGTTAAAAATTAAGAAGAAGAAGACGTCCCGACGACGTTGAATGCAATTTTAAATTTCGTTATTTCATGGAAGCATTCTATGGAAGTGTATGTTGTACATACTATATATCTATTATGTACATATATTTAATGCGCTATTAGCTTATTTTGCTTTTTTTTATTTTGTGTCATAATGTTGAGGGACTGAAAAAAATAATAAATTTAAAAAAATAAAAAAAATTATATTATTTTTTAATTTTAGAAATAATAAATATTTATGTATAATAAAGGGCCCAGCACGCTGCCTTAGGGAACTCCGGCGCGGACCTCCCTCCGGAAGTAGCCTCTCTGCATCTGACCGCAAACATGCGGTTCTTTAGAAATGAGTCCAAGAAGAGGTAGGTAGTTCGGGGCAGGCTTGTCTTGAGCTTGAGCAGGAGACCGGTGTGCCAGACCCGGTCGAGGGCTTGTTTGACGTCCAGCATTACAGCCAGGCAGTACTACTCTGTGGCATTGCTCTGGAGTTCCGTGGGACCGCCTGAATCCAAACTGGTGATCGGGGATCACCTCGTCCAGTACCAGCAATGCTCTGTTCAAATATAGGCTTTCTAGGACTTCAGATGGCATCGACAGACGACTAATCGGACGGTAAGAGGCAAGAATGGCTTCGGGTTTTTTTGGGCTTAGGTATCATGGTTACCTGAGCACGTTTCCAGGTGGTC